TTGTCTGTAAAGCTGATACAAGTTTTTGCCTTATACCATATTTCATTTGTAAATTTGTCTTAGTTTGCTGAGGAAAATGTGTTTTATGACATTTACTTGATGCCTAATACTGAGTATTGCCAAAAGTATTGCAGACATTTTGAGGGGCATATTAGGTGTGTTCTCACACTTGAGTGCACACACACATGCAGTAAGGTACTGGAGGACTCCCAACTTATTCTAGGGATGTGTTTTAATACAGATTTTTTTTTTACTTTCTTTGTATTTCTGTAATTAAAGTTGTAAACACCTAACATTAATAGTACTTAGGAAAAATAGCTCCACCTCTGAAATTCCACATATCAACCTTCTGTTTCACCAGTGTCAATTCAGTTATTTTGAATCTGGCTAATCTTCCACCCATAATAGAGCATGCATTTCAATTATTATTTCCTGTGTGCCTCCTAATACCATGGACAATGAAAATATGGTCCTTGATGGGAGCTAATAAAATAGACTTAATATCCGATGGTGAGAAAAATTCTTTATAAACCACCCTGATCTTATTGTTTCATTTGTGCAAATATTTTTTCACAAATGAAATCTTGAGCACATTTCAACAGTAGCTAATTGATCATTAGATAATGAACAATAAAGAGGTCTCCCTGCTAACTGGATTTAGACATTTACTGCCTATCTGCGGTGTAAAAGGTAACCATTGTGTGCCTTATATCCTGGCTGTTTAAAGTTTCATATTTCCTCTATTACATCCCCATGGCAAGAGTTTCTCAGCCTCAGCACTATTGATATTGGCAGCTGGATAAGTCTTTGTTGTGAGGGGCTGCTGTGAATATGATAGGGTTTTTAACAGCGTGCCTGGCCTCTGCCACGATGTGCCAGGGGCCGCCCCTGAGTTGTGAAAACTAAAAATATCTCCAGACATTGTCAAATGTCTGCTGGGGAGGGGCACAAAATCAACCGTATTTAATAACCATGGAGAATTTGAGAAACTCCATTCAGATATGTTTCTCTCTTCAAGTGTTCTCAGAACTTGTATCTTAGTGCAATAAAACAAATAAGGAGCTATATTAGCCCCTCACACAAAATAGTGAGGTGGAATAGAAATAGGGAGCTTTTTAAATAAGAGTTGATGGTGGAGGGCAACCTCTAGGACACAGAGTAATTCACGAACTCGTTTGGGGCTCTGCTGCTATCAGAACTGCATGCCGGCGCCCCCAGCCTCTCTGGTCATGTTGGCCCAGGACATAACCTGTGTTTTTCCACTCACTGGAGATGTTAGGACATCGCAGCAGCTTACTCCTCCCCTCCATCGTCAGAGAGTCTTGGGGCAATTCGTTTCTTCTGAGTAAACACTTGGTGCATGCCCAGTAGGCCAAGTCAGGGGGATTCAAAGATGAATATGTTAAAGTCTTCACCTTCCAGGAGCCTTTGGTCTAGTGTAAACAGCGTGTAAGCACTCTGATCGGCCATGAAGCACCAGGACAGTCAATATTACAGCACCCTGTAATGTACTGTAATATTTTTCCTCTGCTTGATCACCGTATGATGAGGAGTTAATGTTTTCCCCAAAATAGATGATCAGCTCACAATAAGAAATGTGAATGCTTGGATTGTTTTTTAGGTCTCTGAGTCTGAAGGACTTTGCGAGGGATTTAAATAGATTCCCTTCCTCCTTCTTCAGACTCAATTAGCCCTTGATTTTAGAATTCTTTGTGGTCTGCTTTACAAACATTGAGAGACATCCATGNGGATTGTTTTTTAGGTCTCTGAGTCTGAAGGACTTTGCGAGGGATTTAAATAGATTCCCTTCCTCCTTCTTCAGACTCAATTAGCCCTTGATTTTAGAATTCTTTGTGGTCTGCTTTACAAACATTGAGAGACATCCATGCAAAAAAACCCAAAAAGCAAAAATCAAAACAAAAAAAAACTTGAAAAAGAGGCATTGAATTAAAACCAGAAGGATTGTTTAAAAGCCCCTCAAGTTGGCATTCTTTTATGCAACAGTGATTTATTTAAAACTAACAGACAAGTCTCCCACTGCCTTGGTAGCCACCCTGGAGTACATTCATCTTGGTTCAGAGCAACCTGGCATCTCCTGACACACAACTGCGCCTTCCTGAAGTGAGAGTTACCACTCATGCATGCGGAATGTCCAGAATCCTGATGAAACATTAATTAGGGTGTTAAAAATCAGTAAAAACTGAGGCTCTTCCTTTGCACTGAAAAGTGAAGACTCAGATTAGGGACCTGGGACTTTATGGTGCAGAGAAACAGATTCCTCACATCAAATGACAAAAGGAACAGCGTTAAATGATTTATGACACAGATGTTTTCTTTCCCATTAAAACTGTGTGTTGTAATGGAACCATTTCAAATCTGTTTGAAGCATTGAATTTTTAAATTCAGCTAGCTGTCCACGCATGGTTTGAGGTCCTCAGGAAGCCAGGCAGAGAACTGTGTGAGTTTCTGTGGTGTGGTTTATAGCCAGCTCTGACTGGTCATCATATACATCTGTTTCTTGTTTGGGGGTCTGGTTAATGGACTTGGTCCTGGCTGGCTACCCTTGATGTGATGGTGCTGAGTTGCCATGTGCTATGTCTGAAATCACATGGAATCACACTCACAGAGATTTTAGGTAGAACCATCACATTCATAGCCCAGAGGAACAGATTTAGATGCTCTGAGTTAGTCATTTTTAAACTCTTTGAACAGTAGGTCTTACTAAGAGCACATATATATAAGTATATATATAGTTACGGGCTTCCCCAGTGGCTTAGCAGTAAAGAATCTGCCTGCAATGCCGGCGCCGCAGGAGACACAGGTTCAGTCCCTGGATTGGGAAGATCCCCTGAAAGAGGGCAAGGCAGTCCACTCCATTATTCTTTCCTGGAGAATCCCATGGATTCTAGAAACCTAGTGAGCTGTAGTCCATAGGGTCACAAAGAATCAGACATGACTGAAGCAACTTTGCACACATGCATATATATAGTTATATATTAAATATATATTTATACTCACATATATACATATATGAATATATATTACACACTATAAATATTTATTATGAATGAAATGCATGAAATGATACTTATTACTTGAATGTCACTCAAATATTTCATGTCTATTTCAATCTTTAAAATGCTGTTGACATTTGCTAAATTAATTTTGTAACCTGTGGATTGAAAAACACTATTCTAGGAGGTCTGCACACATCCAGCCGCAGATAACTACCACATCACTGTAAACAGGGGCGGACTCATGAAATGGTGCCATACCTACCAGTTGGTGCAGAGTGACATTATCAACTCCATGGTTCATTAGGTACACCTGCTGCAGATGTGGCCTTTCTCTTAATTGCATTTGCTAAGGTCACTGTCAGTATTTCTTTATCATATTAAAGGCACTCAGGAAATCAGTTATTGCTAAATGGATAAATACAAGTGTCACTCCTTGACATCAAATTTACTTGAAATGTCAATAACAATTTTCCTTATAGAAATATGAACATAAAGGAATCAGTACATATTTGAAAAACTGTATCACTAGATGTTGTCTTTACAACTTGCTTATATATTGAGGGCTTCCCTGATGACTCAGTTGGTGAAGAATCCGTCTGATTCAATGCAGGAGACCCCAGTTCAATTCCTGGGTCAGGAAGATCCCTGGAGAAGGGACAGGCTACCCACCCCAGTATTCTTGGGCTTCCCTCGTGGCTCAGCTGGTAAAGAATCCGCCTGCAGTGCAGGAGACCTGGGTTTGATCCCTGGGTTGGGAAGATGCCCTGGAGAAGGGAAAGGCTACCCACTCCAGTATTCTGGCCTGGAGAATTCCATGGACTGTGTAACCCATGGGGTTGCAAAGAGTCGGACACAACTGAGCAACTTTCGCTTTCACCATATTGTAGCACACTTTAAAAAAATGTCTATGTTAAGATCACATATTGTTCAGAATGATAGTAATTGTTTCCTATACTACCTTACTTTCTTAGCGTCTTAAAATTTGGGGGATCAAGGCCAAGTTGACCTTCTGATGAGATCTATGGCCCATCTCCCTAGAATGAACAAAACTTTGATTCCATAGACCCTCATTTGAGAACCTTAACCTGAGAAGAGGTCATGGTTCATACCCTCTACCCAGAAGTCAGTTGGTGTCTCTTAAAATCACCTTGACTGGAAGGAAGCGTTGCACTGTTGGTACCTAAACCAGCAGCTCTTTATGCAGTTTTCCCAATGCCCCTTCACATGTACTCGTTCAGCGTGTCTGCTGGGTGGGGACCAGAGCCAGTCTAGGAAGCAGCCCTGTGGGTCCTGCGTCAACATGGCAGTCAGAGAGGGCTGTGGGACCAAGGTGTGTGGTATCAGTTGCAGTCAGCCCTCTAGAGGTGTTTGAAACTCTTTCCAAAGTCCCCGTGTCGTGGACAAGACATAATCATAATATGTATTTTTAAGGTGTTAATTAAAGTATTCCCTAGGTCATACCAAATAAATATTATGAAGAGCATCAACCAGGAACAGAAAGTCCGTGGAGGTCTTAAGCTAAGCACTCCATATGAAGCAGATGAGTAGAGCACCATGGCCACCTTTTGCTCGCGTAGCTTAATTGCAGGTTCAAGTTTGGGGAGAATAATAAACCTATCTTGAACATGCTCTGTGTTTATTTGCTCAGTCGGATCCAACTCTTTGCGACCCCATGGACTGTAGCCCGCCAAGCTCCTCTGTCCACGGTGATTCTCTAGGCAAGAATACTGTAGTGGGTCACCATGCCCTACTCCAGGAGATCTTCCCAATGCAGGGATCGAACCCCGGTCTCCTGCATTGCAGGCAGATTCCTTACTGTCTGAGCCACTATTAAATTTACTAAATTGTCAAAAGTGTGCCTTCCTTGATATGCTGGGGAAAAAAGAGAGCATGTGTTGATGGAACTTGCTTTAGCTCTGCCTTTTGTGTCTCACACCGGCTGTTTGAGCCCTGATATCACAGACCGTCTGTGCCTCTTGGCAGGATTGGAGGAGCCATCCCCACTGTGTTCTCCTACTTTGCGGAAGTGTTGGCGCGAGAGAAGCGGGGTGAGCACCTGAGCTGGCTCTGCATGTTCTGGATGATCGGCGGCATCTACGCCTCGGCCATGGCCTGGGCCATCATCCCGCACTACGGTAAGAGGCCGGCCTTGCCCCAGCCGGGCAGTCCCCACGTTTTATTTCGGCTTCATTTCCATCCCTTTCCTCTCTCATTAATGCTGATTTGAGAACAGTGCCATCATCATGTTTCTCCCTTTTGCAGTGTCTAGGATTTGCACTCCCAACCCCTTATTGCGATCTGTATGAGGTAAGACTGTGCCAGCCATCCTTTGGGAAGACTTTTCATTTTGCCGTCCTCAATGTCACCGCTTTCCTTTGTTCCCTTTCTGCTGTCAACACGGGGTCCCATGTAAGTGGAGGTGAAAGGATGCGCAGATCATAGCCTGTAAGGCAGCTTGACTTACAGTGGGTCTTGGGCTCCTCATGCATGTGAGACACTACGAGTACCTTGACTCATCTCCTCTCGGCTTAGCCCACGGCTCAGGCCATGGCAGCCTCGCCTCTTCCAGAAACTCAGAGCTGGGACAGGGGCAGGAAGAGCCCCGTCTTCTCAAGGACCCCCAATGTGCAGAGCTTCAGCGGTGACTCTGCACCCCGCTTTGCAGTTCTGTTCCTCAGTCTCCCCTGAGCACTCATGGTTCTGCCGCCTCAAAACCCCCTGCAGGTTTCGTGTTTCTGAGCAGTGCCAACCCTGTCAGAAGCCACAGCTCCCAGGTGCTTCCCCCATAAACAGAGAAATGCCGGGAGAGGTTAACAGAATCTAGGAATTGAATTCAATATAGAAGGAAAGGGAAAGGTACCTGTTCTGGCTATATTTATGTGTGTGTGAGTGTGCGTGCATGTGTGTGCATGAAAACAGGATGAACTTGACAAAGCATGAATACTGTGTAGATTTAAACCACCATGGCTTCAAAAACTCACTCTTTGTTCTATCTGAAATCTAAAAAAATTAGATTTCAAAAATTTACTATTTGCTCATTTTCTATTTTTGTCTTTTTTTTTTTTAAAGAACAGAGCAACTTTTCATTATAAAGCATGGTTCTATTAGGAAGCAAGTTTAAGTGAATTTAATGCATTGATAAAATCAAAGACAAAATGGACTTCAAGGTTCAGATGCATTGTGATTTGTTTTCCATACTGAGCTTTAAAATTCACATTGTCACACTCATTCTTTTAATAAACCTGGAAAGTTACATGCAAACCAAAGTTGTATTTAACAACACAAGTACCAGGAAAAAAAAAAAGAACACCCACAAGACTTAAGAAATTGGTTACTGGTCCTGAAGAGAACGTTTCTTTGTCAGGCCTATTTTAGTGTGATAGGTTTCTCATTTTTAGACTCCTTGGTCACTTTGGGGCCAGTAATGCCCTCATTCAGGCCATTACCCATTTCCACCATGAGGCTTGTCTGCCCATATCTACCATGAGGCTTGCCTCCTGCCACCATCTGAGGAATTAAGGAGATTCTCCTCCTTCATCTGGGTCCTGAGGACCTCAGCCATGCTCAGAACTTCACTTGTATGGCAGCATCTAACGCCCACCCCACTCAGCTTGCTATTCCAAGTGGAAAAGTCACTTAGCTAGCACATAAGGCATTGTTTCTTAGGAACTATGTATCAGGAGACAAAAAGGAGATGAAGGACCTGGGCAGAGTCCAGCTGTACCCAGCACTGCCCCCCAGAGCCACCGTTAAGTCGTATTCAGCCTTTGTGCAAATTGAAATAAGCTGATGGGTCTGGGTGGTCCCAGCTGCAGCCTCACGGGCTGTCTCTGCCAGGCACTTGTGCAGGGCGCAGCCTGGCACCTGGATCCCTTCTGAGGCCAGTGTGTTCTGCGTCTCAGCCTCCAGCGACAAACTGCTGGCTTCATTGCCGCCGGTTTCCTGGCCCTCCTTTCCCATCTTGTCTCACGCCTCAGAACGCCTCCTGCTGGCCTCCCTCAGCTCATAGCTCAGGCTGGCCTCTGTCGTCTGTGCATATCTATTGGGCCTGGACATGACTGCTTTTGTTTGTTTGTATGTTTTATCCATTTATTTTTGTTAGTTGGAGGCTAATTACTTTACAACATTGTGGTGGTTTTTGCCATACATTGACATGAATCAGCCGTGGATTTACATTCATTCCCCATCCTGAACCCTCTCCCACCTCCCTCCCCATCCCATCCCTCTAGGTCATCCCAGTGCACCAGCCCTGAGCACTTATCTCATGCATCCAGCCTGGATTGGNATTAAAAAATGGGCCAAAGATCTAAACAGACATTTCTCCAAAGAAGACATACAGATGGCTAACAAACACATGACATGACTGCTTTTGTTTTTGCTTTTGTTTCCTTGCTTCCTCGCTCACCCCAGATTCCTGCCTTTCACACATTCCTGCCCTTGACCTTGAATAGCCCTTGGAGGGCCCCAGGTTTGCTCTGTCCTTGCCAACTGCCAGTGTCTGACCCACGAAAAATGAGCATGATCCCCACCTTTTCCTTCCACAAGCACACATAAAATGTTCTTATTTAGAGCAAAAAAGTTCCCCTAAATCATATATAGCTAGAAAGAGGGAGGTTGTGAACCATAAACAATGCTCGAAAAGTTACAAAGACAGTCACAATACAGCAGAATCAAATGGATCTGAGGCCAATATTAATTTCTGTATTGAAGGAACCAATAATAACCTGGTTAAGAAATTAGTAACAAAAAATTAAAACCTTATGCCCATGCTTTACTGAAGGTTTTCCATGGCCAGAGGTGTGGCCAAAAAAAAAGGAAAAGAAAGACCTCGGTAATTACTGTTGTTAATCCTGTCTCTGTGTTAGAATCAACAGGAGAGAGTTTTTGAAATACCCTTGCTGAGTTCATTTTATACTCTTGCAACTTGAAGAGCAAGAGTTAAATTTTAAAAGTCCCATGCTGAAGCTCCTGGGGGTGATGCTGTTCTGTCTCTCAATGGGGATGGGTTTCAAGAGCACATGTGTGCTCAATCACTCAGTCGTGTCTGACTCTTTGCAACCCCGTGGACTACAGCCCTCCAGGCTCCTCCGTCCATGGGATTGCAGGCAACAACACTGCAGTGAGTTGCCATTTCCTACTCCAGGGGATCTTCCTGACCCAGGAATCAAACGCACATCTTCCGCATTGTCAGGCGGATTCTTTACCTTCTGAGCCAAAAGGGAAGCCCAGGTTTCAGGATTTATTCATAAAAATTTATTAAGCTGGGTGCTCAATATTTGTGCATGTCGTTATATGGTGGTTATACTTCTTCATAAGCACTTTTTAATGGAAGCTTACCGCTTCACCCACCCACTGAAAATACCCATGATTGGATCCTACCCCAAATCAGTTGAGTCAGATTCTCTGGGACGGGGACTCAGCATATATCCTTTTTAACATGGCCAGGTGGTAATCACGTGCAGTTGGGTTTGAGATTTGTCTTCTCTGTACCTCTCTCTGTGGGTGATGCAGAAGCCCCCGGGACTTCCCCGTGTGTGCACAGGGCAGCTGTGAGTTGGAACAAAGAGTGAGCCTGACCTGTGAGCCTGACTTACTCGGTTGGTGTTGGAGTTTTAACATTGTTGGTTTCATCCAGACTAAGAGACTTTTTCATTCATGCAATTCATAATCACACTTTAAAGGTAGTTTTAACATGTGTCTTTCCAATGACACATCTTTTCACTTTATTTAAAAATGACTGTTAAAAGTCCATCCACTTTCCCTACAGCCTCTAAGAAAATAAGGAGCTTTCTGTTTTCCCTCTGAAATTCTGCAGGGTATAAATGGTGCCAGGGCCCACAGAAATAACAGGGGCATATGGGTGGGTCCTTTCCCCTGCATCCTCTTTCATTTGGGGGACCTCTGACCACCGCCAGTACAGTGGGTTGAATTTTCCCCTGGCAGGGAAGGAAGTCAGGGCAGAATAAAGCAACCCAGAGCCAGGTACTGGCCCTTCCCACACTGGTAATAAAATTTGCTCTGAAGGAAAGAAATTAGTGATTGGCATCCACATGGCAAGATTGTCAAGGGATAAATGATACATATAGTCATGGGGAATGCAGTCGGGCTTGTGTTTCTGGACATCACCTTTCTGCATTTGTGGCAGAGCAGTCCGTGCACTAGACCTGAGCCTGATGCCCTGAGACCTGAATTCTGACTCCTGACAAGCTTCTGATGCAAGGTCGACCTTGAGCTGGTCACTAAGGATGTTGAAACTTGGAAGGACTCTTAGGAAGTTAGACACAACCTCCAGAAAGGGTGTTTGGACGGCTACCAGGGTGGGCAAGTTGAGATATAGGCTGTGCCAGGAGTTCCTCACTGGCCTCGGATCCACATGGCCTTCAGCAGAGGCCAAGTTTCCGTACCAGCATCAGATGACGATGTACTGTGCATTCCCCGGACACAGACGGTCGCCAGCACCCGAAGGTTCTGAGGAGATGTTAGGAGGCAGAGTACAAGATGTCACCGCTCCAGGCAGCTTTCCTGCCACCACCTCCCTGGGACCAGCTCCTTCCAGCTAGGAGCTTCGGGACTTTCTCAGCCTGTGGCATAAAGCTAGGGAGGGGGGGAGAAGACCCCGCCTAGAAGGAAACACCCTGACCTCAGAGATTAGGTGCCCGCAGCAGCTGAGAGCAGGTGTTAGAAAGTATGGTTCCTCTTGACCCCACGCCCCTTTGCNAAAGCTAGGGAGGGGGGGAGAAGACCCCGCCTAGAAGGAAACACCCTGACCTCAGAGATTAGGTGCCCGCAGCAGCTGAGAGCAGGTGTTAGAAAGTATGGTTCCTCTTGACCCCACGCCCCTTTGCCAACCTCTGACTTCTGACCCACGGTGGATACTGGCTTCCGATTCACAAAAGAACAAGCGGGGTGTTGGGAGAGCAGATGCAGCCTTTCTCCCCTCCCCCACGCCCTCTGAATTAGGACACAGAAGCTTTGAATGCAAGCCCCGACGCCTTAAGGAGAAAGTGGGACAGGGAGCTGAATCCTGGGTCCTTTCCCTCTTTGGCTGAGAGCTTTCGCTGCATCCCAGGCTTTGGTGTCGTTGCGGGGTTGCGGCACTGTCCGCTCCATTAAACTCTCTGTCGTCATTTTCTTT